AGGATAAATCACCGAATTTTCGAAAATGGTCAAAAAGTTCTTCTTTTTAATTCTCGACTAAAACTTTTTCCCGGAAAACTTAARTCGAGATGGTCTGGACCATTCACCATTGTCAATGTGGGAAAATTCGGAACGGTAGATCTTTTGAATCCCCAAGATAATAGCACTTTCAAAGTTAACGGGCATCGGATAAAACATTTCCTCCCGGAGGGAATGATCGGTCCAACCCAGTAATTTTTTGAAAAGGATTTTCAACAGTCTATAAATATTTGAATTTGAAAGCAAGAATGGAGAAAAAGAAAAAAAAATAATAACAGGAAAAATCTGGTGTTTTTTAGTAGACAGTGGGAAGTTTGTGCCCACTGTCTTGGTCTTCCGAATTTTAAAAGAAATGTCAGCCAGCAGCATTTTTTTGTTTTTATGTGAACAAATGAATGCTCTCTTCATTATCATGAACATTTGGCTGGAAATGCATTGTTTTTGGAAAGGACATGATGTCACCTTGAAGTTGAGAAAAGAGGGTTTTCTTTTCATTGGCTAAGTACATTTTGATGATTAGCCTTTGACAAAATGGGTTTTTTTTAGATTTTGTTTAAAAAAATAAAAGAAAAGAAAAATCTTGGGAAGGTAGTGAAAGAAATATTTTTTTAAGATGGACTAAGTGCACCCTTTTGTTTTAAAATGACCAATTTTTGAAAAAAAAAATTTGAAAAATTTTCAAGTGTCAATTTTTCAAATTAATGTCTTTTTAAATTTCTTTTGGGTCAAATATTTGTATTTTGTACAAGATATTGTTACCCCAAATGATGACATCCTAGGCATATGTCCTTTTTATTGGCCCATTTTTTAAAACTAAAAAAAAAGAGGAATGGCAATGCACCATACTTTTCCATAGTTGTACTTCACATCAATCACACMTTTTCACCACTTTTGTTTCCAAAATCTTTTTTCTTTTATCTATTTTATTTTTAAAACAAAAAACAAATTTTCAAAACCCAAAAACCCATTTTGCCTTTTCTCCTTCCCTCTTCCTTTCTTCTCCAAGACAACCGCCGGCCACCATTTCCATTATCCATGGCACGACCGAAGCAACCGGTTCGCAACCACCCTTCTCGCCGTTCACTTCACCGGCGACAAACCGCCGATGATCCTACCACCGGTGCTCCACTGTCGACCGCACCGCCTGCTTCCTCGTCGGCCGAGCCCTCTTCGTCGGCGACGGGCGGATCCTCCACCGCCAGTGCAATAGCCGCGAGCACCATAGCCGCCTTCCGTGACACCACTCCGGCGACTGTAAGTTTCTCTTCTATTCTGACTACATCCGCACACCACTCCACCCCGACCACCACATTGCTCTCATTTGATGATGATGGTATGGCTGTCCTTACTCGGGTGGCTCTATCATCTCATTTGGCCGAATCGTCCTCAACCCCAAAACCATTCTCCATTTCATTAAGTTCGGCTTTTGCTCCTCCTACGATTGCACCCTCAAGACCCCTTTCCACTCCCATCTACAGTGATGAGGAACCAACCCTAACCCCTTCCCATACGGCTTCCCCCAATCACTCACGGTTTGATTTAAACCAAATGGGGGATGGTGAGGATGAAGGATTGGACGATATTACATTTGATTTTGAAGGTATGCATGAGGGAGGACACACCGAGACTTACCCATTTGAGACACCGTCAACTTTTGGTACCGGTAAAAAG